GGAGGGTACATCTCTATTCTTGGCACTCCCAACTGCTTATTTGTCATTCCCTGTTGGACAGATCAGCAACTACCTGTCAAATAAAAGGTGCTAAAAACATATAACTGCTCTTGTAAACTACTTTTCCAAAGGAATAAGTGTCACTTACTGGTACAGAAACTCTCCATCTGAAAAACAGGTGAGTGATCTTAACTGGATCCTGAAGGCACCTGAGCTTACCACTACCTACTCTGAAGGCCCCACAGAGCCAATTCAGCAAACACCTTGAGAGCAGAACCTGCTAAGTTTCACAAAGTTTTTGACAAAGTACAGTGAGGAGACAAGAGCTAAAAGCAGTAAAGGATAGGCCCAATGAGACTAATTGTGAGTGGGCCAAACACCTTGCAACAGATTTTCAAAATTCTTGTGATACAGGTAAGAACAGATAAGAACAGTGTAAGCTGGAAAGCACTGGATTTAAAGAACACCCATGTGAACTGGAACTGCACAGCTTATTTCTTTCTGCAGATCAAGGTGGACATTTTAACTTTTTATTCAAGTGAACGTATCAAGCTGCATATCCTATTCTGCTGAAGTCGGAAACAAGTGCAGAAAAAGAAAACAACTGTCCTCTAATATTGCCTCACATGACAGTACAGAGCATCTCCTTCATTTATCTTGCCTGTTCATGCCTTGTCTCATGCTGCTGAATTCATAACAATCATTATCAGGATAGTGCAGACCACCAAACCCACGGTTTGAAATTTCTCAGGATGTTTAAGAGAGAACTGTACAACTGAGCTTGGATCAATGACTTCTCCAAGGGGATAGAGCACTGACGTTTAAAATACACACTGTAAAAATAAAAGATACACAATACACTTTTCTATTTCCAAAGCCTTAAATTATTTTTTATCACATATTTCCCCACTTCCTGGTAAGATCTCCACCACCATCCACCTCCAAAAACTTGGAGGAATTTAAGACAGGATTCCATTTATTTATTTTATTGGCTTATTCAGAGGGGTCTGATTGAGCTTGGTGTCTTTACCAGGCAACAAACACTGGAACCTGGAGAATCTTCTACCTTCTGAAGAGGAGGAATTCACATCAATGAACACTTCAACATGTCTCTCCTCTCAATCATTGAATTTGGGTTTTTAATATGTGTATTTAATTCAAAAAAACAAATGTCACCAACTTGTATGGAACATTTAACACCTGGAGAGGCAGGTGGTTTACAGGACTAGATTATTTATACTAAGAGGGATTTAAAATCTTCAAGCTGATTTATGAGTATTACACCAACTTCTTAACAACTCCAGTGCATTTATGTAAGCAACTACTTTTCATACCGAAAGTAGAGACCCAAAATATTAATTTTCCAATAAGCATACAAAAATAGTTTCTTACTCTCTTAACCAGTTCATGAAGTTTCTTTTGCTGCTTTCCAGTCAACATCCATCTAACTAAAATAAGTTAGTACAATCATTTGTATGGGCTGCCTGCACACTGGACACGGTTTGTTCCTCTTCTTAAGCTTTTTTGCACAAGTAAAACATGACATGAGGTGTCCTGTTTTGCCATGTACTATGCAGCCATTTTTAGGTCTGCTCTGACATATGACACAGGGCTCTATGCTGGTAATGGGAAGACTGGATTCCATGCTTTCATCTTTGTCTTGCATTTCTCTCTTCTCAGGTTCCTTATAGTCCTCCTGACTGCCACAAAACATACTGCCTGATGTTGATGGCTGGGAATACTCTTCACTTTCCTGGGACTCAGAAATTTGTACTGCTTTTTCCTCACTCTCATCCACAGCTGGTTCTTTATCTTCAATCATTTTTGTTTTCTTGCAGTCAGGAACATCAAAACCTTCTTCAGCCTCTGCAGGGAAGGAACCTTCTGATTTGCTCTTTTCCAGTTTCTCACTCTTTTCATCTGGAAGCCAATCCTCACGTAGGGCCCAGCACCGGTGGCAATGTCGTGGAAGAGGAGGATTCATTTTGCTACATTCAGGACACTTCCAATAATCCTTTAGTGAATTAAAAGTTGAACAGCTTAAGCTACTTAGAACTCTTACAACTGAAGTATTCAAAGATTAAAACCGATTTATTATTGCCAAAATACTGATTATGTTCGGCTATTGACTTATAATTTCAAAATTTCATTCAGTGTTTGGCCCTATTTTACAGTTCTATATTAAAATGGTTCTTATTTTAAAAGAACCCTTTGATTTTTTTTCTTTCTGCAGAAGATTTGTGAACAGAACAAAAAGTAGAATAATGAATTATTATTTCTTCCGCAAGAGTGGAGAAGCTAGACAACAAAAGTCTTCAGAGAACCTCTCCTGATAAAACGGTCACCTTCCCCTTACTTTCTGAAATGGGAACTATTTGGGACCGAAGGAACAATTCCCCTGCTAAGCTGCTGGTGCGCAAAACGGCCGAGTGAGGGCACTCTGACACAGCGAAGGACAGAACACAGGAGCCAGCGCAAAAAAGAAGGAAAAAAAAAGGGAGAAAAAAACCCCAGAAATTCTGCATCACCATCTCAGAGGTTACTCCATACACTACACTGAAACAAGCCACTCTCTAGTTAAAAATACACTTCACTTTTACAGAGAAAGCCCCTTCTTAGGAATAATACCAGTCATAGGGGGAATCACACCAAAAAACAAACCCAAAACTTATTTAGACAATTCAAAGCACTTTTTGAGTCCTGAGTAACAGCAGTAACATCAAAAACTTAGAAGACCAATTTTAAATTATTATTACAGCAGAAAAAGTAAATTCAATTCTTTTAAAAAAATCACTGGTAGCAATAGATTTCATCTATACTCTGTCAGTTCACCCAATTTATGGTACTTCACTCAAGTTTTTACTCACAGCTAGAGAAATCTCTGGATCTTCATCAAATGAATCAGCATCACTATCTTCATCCTGGTAAATAGTCAGCTGATAAACCTGGTTTAAATTTTTTAAAAAAATGTTACTTGGTTTTGGCATTCAATTAAAAACCCCAAATATTTTTAATCTGATAGATTTTCAGACAGGGAGCTACTGCAGAGTCCCCAGTGATGGGCCACTCAGATTATCAACAGATTAGAGGAGGTCTCTCACATAAGGAAAGGCTGAAAGAGCTGAGACCATTCAGCCTGGAAAAGACTTGGGGCAAGGGGTGCTTTATCAATGTGTGTAAATACTTGAAAGGAGGGCACAAAGAAGATGGAGCCAGGCTCTTTCCAGCGGTATCCAGTGACAAATCAAGAGGCACCTGGCGCAAATTAAAACACAGGAGGCTCCTTCCGAACATCAGGAGACACTTTTTACTACGAGGGTGACTGAGCACTGGCACAGGTTGGCCTGAGCATCTGAGAAGCCTCCATCCTTGGAGATACTCAAAAGACATCTGGCAATGGACCTGGGCAATCAGCTCTGCCTGAGTCAGACTGGGTGGGTGGATAAAATGACCTCCAGAGGCCCCTTCCAATGTCAGCAATGTTCTGCAATTCTCAAAACTACTGTTGGGAGCAGGGGCACACATCAATCCTTTCTTCCTCCAAATTACCATCTTATCTCAGCGTGCAGCTCTGAGATACTGTACTGATGCACACTAGGCTGTAGTTTAAGTGCCCATTCAGCCTCTCACGTACCACAATCATGTATGTCCCTGGTGAATTCTGCCTCTGGTACTTACCAGTCTGGCCATAAGATGACTGATCTCTCTAAAGCAACAGAAAATTAACCCAGAAAAAAAACCCCACCAAATAAACTCTCACTTCATTCTTGACATTGTCTTGAAAATGAGTAATCATTACTTTACTGTCCTCTTGCCTCCTAATGAAAATTTCTAAAATTGTGTTTCAGCATCTCTATGATACGTTTATATTTATAGAGGCAAATGGCTGAAAAATATCCCTTTGTAAAGAGTTACTAGGAAAGTTTTCATTCGGTATTTAGTGATGTCAAAGCTCAACACATACTTCTATAATTAAAAATGCACGACGACTTAAAGTACACATGCTGCCACTGACTCCACAGCTAGTGAGTGAAGGTAAACACACAGACTTTGCTAAACTGCCTGTTTCAGAGCCTGCAGAAAGCCTCAGCACCGTTTCAGTGACTAGCTGGTGGGTAACAGTGACCCAACTGCACAGGCATGTAATGTGATTTAATGAACAACTGGGTGCAGATTGTGACATAGCACATGCAGCTCTAAAATAAACCTATAGAGTTCTTGTTGGAATCTCATAATGAAGTATTCCTGTTGCATTCCTTTTCCCTCAGCCCCCCTGACACACCCAGGGTCAAAAAAAAAACCCAAGCAAAACACACACGTACCTCATCATCTTCATCTGTGAGCTCCTGCCCTTCTTCATTATGGCTATAATCTTCTGAATAAATAGACTCGACTTCAAACTCTACACTGAACTGGTCTGAAACCGAACTGTGGTCAAACCAATCGGAATTTTCGCTTAATGAACTAGCGTCAAGATCCTGAGAAAAAAAACACAAACCAAAAAAATAAGTACGTACACATTCAACCTCACCAGTCCATATACATAACCATTACTCCTAGGATAAAACTGTACTATTGAGTTTAGCTAGCTATAAAAGAATTAAGACCAGTTGCTGTTAGACAGAACATCTTTTATGAGACAAATAAATTAGAGGTAGGTAAAAATAAAGCTAAATCTGAAAATCTTTGGTTGGCCCTGTAATAAGAGGTTGCAGTCAGCATACAGCTAGCTTGAAGACTGCAGTTACTATTTACGAAGGCTCTCCTAAAAAGTCAAAGAACAATTTCAAGAAGATGCTGTCATTTGGTGGCATGTCATTAAAACTCTCTATTCTCATCAACTCTTAACCTCTGAGACCGTTGCTAAGCAACGATAAAATAGGAAGACTGGAGACACAGCATTAGTTCTGTCAATTCAGAATGCAGTATGTGACTAGGAATACTGCTGGTTTAGCTCTTCATGACTTACTCTAACCACAACTGACGTGCCTTGGTGCTTGCCAAAAACAACACAGTAGAGGCTTGGAAAATGAAAACAGGGTATCATCAGCACACACCACTGGGTACAGCTACTGACGCTGTATCGCAAGGACCAGCTTATTCTGAATTATGGAACATCTGGAACTGCTTTTCTTAACACGCTAAGAAATACTTATTTTAAAACACAAATTCTATCCGACACGTGGTCAATGCTGTGCCCAGCAATGAGGATTTTGCTCTTTAAAAAATATTCAAAGTTAATATTTACAAATAATTCAGTTCAGCTTTGTCAGCAGATCTGTGAAAGTTCCCACTCCACCCACAGCCTCGTTTCTTTCCTCAGGCACCTCTGAAGGCACTGCTGCTTTTAATTAAGAACATGATGTTTTCAGAAGTCTATTTGCACTTGTATCTGCAAAATTTGTACCACAAAAATACATATTTTGACTTACAGGAATGGAAAGAGAATCTGTTGAATCACTGCTATTGCTTCTTTCATGGCACAGACCACTGACTACACACCATGAGAGACTTTCATCAAATGTCAACGAAATGCTGTCTGACTTGTGTCGCTTTCTTCTGTCACTATGCAGATCATCTGAAGAATTTTCTTCTGGACATATTCAAGAAGTTTTATTACTCCAAAAACATCTATGCAATGTTCAGTTTTGAATATTCTTAACAGAAGCTTAAAATATAATTTACTTATAAAGAAATCCAATAAAATAAAATAATTCAGTATTCAGGGAAAAAGTAAAGGCACCAAAATTTATTGTAAAGACACAATAACACTGATAAACATGTAAAGTGTGAAACATTCCTGAAACCAGTATTTCAGGGACTGGCTTTCCTCACTTGACCCATCAGTACAGCTTGTGAATGGCAGTCTCCCCATGCAGGAAATAAAATAACTGCAAATTTGGAAGCATTTTTACTCCACACATGACAGGTTAAACTCCTCTCAATTTTAAGAAATACAGTTAGGAACTTAACTGCCCTCCATCCCTCTACAGTCAGTAGACAGAAAGCCACTTTCACAGGGCTTCTGAGTCCATCTCAGAATCTGCAGGGAGACAGAGCAACTAGCTCGCAGGTCACAGGCATACAAAGGACCTCCTGCCAAGCAACATGAGTTCAGGTTCAAGTTTCAGACACCTCAACAAATTTATCAGTGAATAGTTACACTATATATAAATAGCATTTACTCAGCAAGATTTTTGTAACAAACCTTTATGGCTTTCACCACAAACTAACAAGAAAATCTTCAAGACATACTATGTAAAAATTGAACTCGATTATTCTAAGCTGTGATTATTAAGCGTGCTTGGTTTGAAGGCAAAAAGACAATGCTTTTTAAGTGCATCATGTTTTGAAACAATCACCTACAGCAGCATAAGGAGTAGGGGAACAGCATTTTAGGAGTAGGTAACCCAAAATTCATCTCCACTGACTTTTATAGTGCTTGGTAAGAAACAATTAATTAAAAAAGGTGTTGCAGTCAGTCTGCAAGTCCAGTGGAGTGAAAACCCCCAAGATGCCTGGCAACTTGGCTCAGCAGACCTCAGTATGAGCCTTCTGCACCCACCCACTATCGCCCAGCTTCTCTCTTGCCTTGCAAAACACACCCTGACAATCCACGAGTCTTCAAGTCTTGAATCTTTCATGGTAAAAGAAAAGAGAACGAAACACTTGTACATACTTTGAGACTTCTCTTACTTTCCCTTGGTGCTTCTTGGCTCAGCCCCTCTCTGTTCTTTTTTCGCCCTGAGAGCCCCACCAAATTTGGAGCCCCCAGGCCCAAGGGCTGCTCCTGTCCATCGTTGTCCTCATTTAGTTGTCATGGCTCCATGCTGTACTGATACTGTACCACCACAAGGTTTCTATACACTATGTAAGTGGCTCCACAGGAGCCATTACCATCCCAATTTAACAAGAATAGTGGTTTAAAAGGAAGATTTCCTATAAATTAGAAAAAAAGTGTATATAAAAACACTATATTAAAAGAACTTTTTAAGGTTGTAACAAACTAATAAATGGATGCAAAGACAAGAGTCAAATAATCAAACCTATGATAAGTAAGCACAACACAGGGCCTTATGTGCTCTGGGTCATGCCTAAATATCACAGGTTGTGATGTTTAACTGAGACTTTCCATCCTTTCACTAGTTTTAGTTACAACATTAAAACGTTCTTTTAATTTAGTGCAAACCACTCAGCAATGCAGCACAGTTTTTGGACTGACTAACACAACAGTGTCTTACCATGAACACAAGAAGTACTACTCAAAAGCTAAGGAACTGAAAAATGTTTCCAAACAACTGAAGAAAGGGAAGTTCTATGCAGTGACAGAAGGTTATCACTGCCCAGGTAATTAAAACCACCAAGTCATGAGATAACACAAAACTAAGTGATGGAACAAACTAATTTAAGAAATGCCACAGAATAGTATTTAGGTAAAACTGTAGAACACTTCCACTGAGGAATTTACTCAGGTTTATGCTGACTGGCTTGTTATTTGCTAATTATCAGACGAAACATTTCATATTTTGAAAATGTATTTGCCAGCGATTACTGAGCAACCACAGTAAAGGCAAGCAGAAGGCAACTATGATGCTTTAACACCAGATGTTTTAACAAGTACTTAATGAATGGTCGGGTACCTAAACATATCCAGAATCATCCTGTGTTACTACCAGACCTTTGACATTGGCAAGCAATTGAAATCCAATTAATGTCCAGTTTAGAGAACAAATAAAATGTAAAACTTTGTGGCTGTCTACAGAGCGAATTGAAATTAATTTGGCTATATCACTCTATCATATAGACAAAAGTGTTCTCATCATGAAAATAACACAACTGATTAAGTCCTGCTGATGGGAACAGGTTTAACAGATTTTTGGAACAAGATTTATTCCATCATCTTACTAATGCTTCTGGAGATCCAAACTATCATGACACTGGAGCAATGCAAGGAATCATGTATTTCCTTCAGAGTGAAGATTTTGGTTTAGATAAGCAGAGAAACATGAATAGTAGTTATTTGTCAGCATCTTTCAAGTCAGCAAGGCAACAGAATGTACTTTTTCCCTTAAGTGGCCATGCTATGGAAAGCTCTGCATCATAAACCTGCACATACCAGATTCACTGTGTGTCCTCCTCTTAGAAGATGTAGTTGGTCGGGAAGCCACGTTTGATGAAGTTTGCTTCTCTTCTGACTCTTGCATCGACTCCTGATTAACAGAAATGCTTGATAAGCCTGAGCATGAATATGAGGTAAAAGCCTAGAATCAACTACGTACATCTAAACCATTGACTATTTTGCACTATCATGCAAAACTAAATAGACTTTACAACTCAGAACATTTATTAAAATAAAATTATCACCTTAAGAACATTTTCTTCTTCAAGCTGAAATCTGGCATCATCCTCAGGTGTGTCACCAAGTGTAGAGTCTGAAATCAAACCAAACCCCATAATGCCACATAGCAAAAAAGTCAAATTTCTAAGTAGAACTTAAAATCCACACATTTTGTATCAATGGGAAAAAGCCACCCTGCTCCTTTGTTTTTCAGGTGTGCAGCACCTTCTCTGTAACATTACTGAAGTGGGAATATGGGGAGCAAGAAGAAATCTCAGCCACAAAGTAGTTCAGAATTTTATTGTAAAGGCCTTCAAATGGAGACTGGGGTTCTGCAGGCACAGAACAATATAGGCAGGAAACATTATATACTTCTCCAAAGTGCATCTTACTAGCTATCATCTTACGGGAACACTGAACTAAAAAGACATTAAATACAAGAAAAAATAGCTTTGCTAATGATATATGCTTACTACAGATAAACCTGGAATTATAAAGGGCTCCTTCAAGATAAAAAATTTGAGACGCTATTTCAATATTTAAGTGTTACAATAGGAATAATAAAGAGAGCATGTTTCCCATCTTTAGCAGCTGAACACTTGCTTTTAGGAAGAATCAGAAACAAAGGGTGTCTTCATATGGATTTAGAAAACAATTTACAAAATGGCTTCAATTGTTTAACTTCTGGTTCACTCCTTTTATTAGGCAAAAATTACAGCTATATTGAGCATTTTTATACTGCAGGACAGATGACTGTATACAACAATTGCCACTCAAGGAGTGGTGATCCACAAAGTTACCACAAAGCTACTTTTTTAAAGTATGCAGACCTCTTCAAAGAGGACTCAGCATAGCTGAAGGTGACCAATTCTAAATGTACTCCACATTCAGATTTGAAAAGTAAAACAAAACACTGACAGAAAAATGAAAAGCATTTGTCCTGACTTCACTGCTGGCCCAAGTTCGAGAAGCTAGTTTTTCACATTACAGCTTTTATGTTGTTGAGGGCTTTATTTGTATCAAATACAAGCAAATGACTAAGTTTTCAATGTAGTACTCTTTTTGTTCACCTCTGGTTGTGTTTGCTCTGGTTCTAGTCCAACAGAATTACCTAATTGCTGTTCAGACTTTTTTTCTCCCCCAGAAGAAACAGCACTTGCTTTGATTCACTATTTGTGATTGCTCTGGGCAGTAGTGGGTAAAGCCAAATGGCTAATAATGGAGAGATCACAAGATGTATTATGCAAGTTATATTTCCCCTACTACTGTTTCCCAAAGCAAAAGGTCCTCCCAGACTAGCTTACCTTGCTGATTGATTGCTATCAGATTTCTGGAAATCATGGAATATAGCCTCCTTAAATGGGGATAAAGAAAGAGATGTTGCAAGTTAGCTACATGTAACCATAAAAGAGAGCTTACCACCCCTGAAGATGCAAAGAGTTAAAAAAGGCCATACGCATTATGTTCTTCATTACATCCCAACCAGACTCTCAGAAAAGAATCCCATTTTACCTGTGTTCTTTTACTGAAAAGCTTGTTACTCCAAATAAATCCCCCAGGAGATCATTTGCACAGTGTACAATATGTTGCTGTTTTTCATCATATAATTGTTTAGACATAATATACTGTCCAAGATAGAATATTACCTGTAAAATAAATTAAATACGCAGACATTAAACACCCAGGCTGTTGTTTCAAGTTTAAGACAAAAAAAACACATCAAATACATTGAGATTTGCTCTTTTCATTTTGAGTGCCTGAAGCTCCCTCTGAGCTGACAGATTTCCATCTATCATTCCACAAGAACAGTGACCACCAGATTCTTTTGTTCAGGTTTTGAGAAACTTGCAAAAATTTTTTTTAAAATGAACAGAATATCTTGTCTCCTTATGTTCTAGATAAGCTGTGAACTACACTGCCCTCCATTCAGCCAAAAAGAACAACCTGTCTGTACTCACTGTAATCTACCTTTAGTGATTAAAAGTTCTTACCTCCTTCATAGTAAAAGTGTCCTTTTCTGCACCAGCTAACTTTAACAACTTCAACAACAGCGGCTTTGGTTTAACCTGTGTGAGGAAGTAGAAAAACAGTATGCACCAATTATTCACCAAAAAAACATGATTTATACAGGCTGCATTCCTCCTTTTGTATTTATCTGTTATACAAACACACAACTACATTAACACCTATTCACATCCAAGTTTTTCATTTTACCATTAGAACTTGAAAGAAAGTAACACTAAGCAAATCATAGAATCCTGGAATTTAAGGGCTGGAATGGACCTTACAGATCATCTAGTCCCAACGCCCCCTGCCATGGGCAGGAACACCTGCTCACTAGATCAGGTTGCTCAAGGCCTCATCCAGCCTGGCCTTGATCACTGCCAGGGTCGGGGCAGCTACCACGTCCCTGGGCAATCACACTAAACTTCTCATCCATTGTACAGCTTAGCTCAAACCCTAGGTTTTCACTGTCTCCTGGTTTCAGCTGAGATAGTTAATTTTCTTCGTAGAGGCTGGTACAATGCTGTGGTTTTAGATTTACTAGAATAATGTTGACAACACACTGATGTTTCTGTTGTTGCTAAGTAGCTACACTAAATCAAGGACTCTTCCGTGTCCCATGTTCTGCCAAGAAGGAGGTGCACAAGAAGCTGGGAGGGAGCATGGCCAGGACAGCTGGCCAAAGGGATATTCGGTAGGTTGAGAAAGTCACGCCCAGTGTATAAACTGGGCGAGCTAGGCAGGAGGCGGAGATCTCTGCCCAGGCACTGGCTCAGCCTCAGCCAGTGGGTGGTAAGCAGCCGTGCTGTGCATCACTTGTTTTTCTTCAGTTTATTCCTCTCCCTTTTCTTCAGTATTATACTTTAGTTCAATTATTAAACTGTTCTTAACGCACAGGTTTTAACTTTTTTTCCAATTCTTCTCCCCACCCTGCTGGGGGAGTGAGGGGGGGAGCCAGCGGCTCTGTGCCACTTAGCTGCCGGCTGGGGTTAAACGTGGACACATAGGGAAGTGCAGATTCCTTAATTTGAGGAACTGGATTTGTTTATCAGCTGTGACTACAGGGGCGAGTCCCGAGGAATTCTGCTTCACTCCTACAGTCATTACACTGACTCCCAAAGTGGAGGGCAGAAGGCAAAGGGACCTTTGTGACCGTCAGGTCTAGAGTGGAATGCAAAGCTAAACACTGGTCCACCCCTTAGTCTCCTCCTATGACAGTTTCTGAGGTTTCGGTTTTGCATTTGCCATCTGGGCTGCTTTACCTCTGAAGACTTTTCTTAGCTGGGACAAGCACACTCTGTCCTTTCCATCATACTTCACTCACTCCACCCCTGCAACGGCCTCCCACTCACACACTGTGCCAGCAGTTTTAGCTGCAACTGGACTATGACAACGTCTGCGGTACAGGAGGGAAAAGTTAAACAAAAATTATCACTTCCCCCTACATAAACCTTTTTCTTGGTTTTTTTTTTTTTTCCCCTGGCTGCAGCAGCATCCTGATCCCATTCATGGCACACAGCTGTGCAGTGCCAGTGAAGCAGATGAGAACAAGCTGCAGGAGCTGCCACAGCAGCAAAGCAAACGCCGGTGGAGCCACTGATGGCTCCCAGGGCAGTATAGCCAGTGTCACCACTTCAGCAACGGCAGAACCGGTCCAAGAACAGGCTAATGTTATGCATTATATATAGCCTGGCATATTCCATAAAACAAAACAAAATAAAAAATACATAGAAAGTAAAGGGGAAAAAATATATAAGGAAGTTTGAATAAAGTATCATGAGATATGGAATAAATGCTTAAGGAAGGGCAGCGCAGGGGAACTTCCCTACATTCGACTTCAAATATCTGCTGAAACCAAAGTTAAGTTTTAGTGCATTAACAAGAGATTAGTTGCAAAGATTACACATAATGAAAACAATTACCAAGCCTGTGGACAACGTTAGATGACTTATTCACCCCTTCCTAAGTGCTGAATGATTTAGAACATGCAGCACATATTACAGTTTCATAAAGGAAGCAACGACTTATTAAAGTACTACTGACAGCTAAGCACAGGAAGGCAGTTTCAGATCTCTGAATCTGCATCTAAGCCCTCCCTCCCTGACCCTTCCGTGTCTGAAGTTCTGCCTCACAGATCTGAGAGCAGATGGCAGCATCACAATATAATGATTTAGGAAAAAGAACAGACAAAAAAAATCAACTTTGAGCAGTCTGCTGTTCTGCTACTTTGCTTTTTCGAAGTTCTGCAATCAATCTATGCTTTTAAGCTTTACCCTTCTACACAAGGTAATCCAGTACCACAACACACATGACGTTTCTAAATCGTATCTCAGGTGCAAGAGGCTTCCACCCTCAGGAAAACCTATGCACAAAACCAGGGCAGAACTATCACTGTCTCATGGGGAGCCATAAACAGAAATTAAGACTCATCTTACAACTTGCTTATGAATTCCAACAGGAGGATAAAGTCGAAAACCTTCAGTTGTAACGGCAAGATTATTTCACAAACTATGCATTGCACAACGGAGATTTTCCACAAGTCTTTAGTTATGATCTGTTAACAACTTCCACCATGAAATACCACAATCAAATCGGATCATAAGATTTCTTTTTTATAAAAATAAAGCAAAACCCGCCAAAGGTCTCCAGGAAACATAGCACAGACCTAAACCATCACCCTCAACTCTCAGCTACGACTGAGAAAACACCAGCTTCACAACAGCAGCATCAAAGAGAGAGCACCTTCACCGCATTTCCTGGCTTCTCTCCAAACACCGCTCGCTGAGCAAAGCGACCCCTCTGAATTCGCCGGTAAAAGCACAGCAAAAAGCACGAAAACCCTCGCGCGTCCAACAGAGTTACTGACCAGCGCCTCCTGCTCTGAAGCGGTCACAGGGGAGGCATCCGCGAGGGAGGACATCTTGCTATTGCACATTTGCCTGCAAAGAAGGGGAGAAGCAGCTCACAAGGCGGAACGCGGCTCGGCCCGGCGGGGCCGC